TTTCCATCAGATGGGCATTCGCCATAGATAATTGGTCTTTACTCAAAGGTGCAGCATGATCTTGTGTTTGCTCCGCATGCGAGCCTTTCCAAGCCGGGTCTGCTTCCCTCTCAGCCTTGGCGACTAATGTTTGCATCTCCTTGTCGATATATTCGTCATCTCCCTTGCCAGAAACCTTGCCGTCACTTTCATCATTTGTACTTCCACTTGGTGTAGAGATCCCGCTCAGCTTCCTGGCCAGTGCAATCATCAGCCGGTGCTTTCGGCTCATCGGCCCCCGACCAGGAGAGTAAATCCAGCCACGCACGTCAACGGCCACAACTGCATCTTCGGTCTCCGTTGCATCCCAAATAGGTGTGGGGGGTTCATCGTCCTCATGGGCTACACCCCTGTATTCATCGATAGTTTCTGACCATGACCCCTGCCGCGAAGGTGCGCTGGTACTAGTGTTCTTCTTCTCTGTCAATTTCCTAGCATAACTGGGAAAGACCACCATCTCCTCGTCACCTGACCGTGCAATCTCCACGTCTGGGAATGCACCGGGGGTATTGTAGTAATCCTCATCATGTTCATTCCTCTGCCCCGACCATTGTGAGGTGTAGGCCTGGCGTAGCTCATTGGCCGCTTTAAAATAGTCGTAAACCTTCTTTCGGCGACTGCCAGGGGCGGCAGCACCATCACCATTCCCCGACCCCCGTGTTGATGAAAGTCCTGACTGTGCCATCGGGTCTATCGTTGTGTCCTTCGGTCCGTAGCGGGGTTCTCGGTTCGACTTCGGGTACCTTGCAGCTGGACTGTTACCGGCTGCAGAAGATTTCCACGGTCTTGATTGTCGCCGCGTTCCGAGAAGATAAGTCACAAGGCGTCCGCCAAGTCTGCTATCGCGTGTAGCGAGTCGCGCTTGTCGCTGGACGATCGCTCGGTAGACCCGCGATTGGGCTCGGTGTCGAAGCGCGGGGAGTGTCTCGTGCCGGATGCCCCAGAGACGGGATTGTGCTCGTCTGGTTGCGTGTGCGCCAACTATCAGACGAAGTATATTTGATAGTCTGCTGGGTCGAGGCTCGCGAGGGAAGGAAGGGAAAAGGGTGGTAGGCGGGCGTCTGAAGAGAGAGGGCCTCGACCGAAGGATTGGCCAACGGAAAGGTGGTTTAGGCGCCAGGGTCTCGTATCGTATGATTTATCAGGGTAAATAGTCAGAAAGAAGAAAAAAAGCCAAGTCCCGTAAGGCTATGTTGTAGAAAGTTGATTCGCGGGGAAAGAGATCGGCCATGACGATATTATTCAGATGCTCTCACCGCGTTGCAACCGAAAGATTCTGGGAAATATTATATTCATTTTTTTTTTTTTTTAAATCGCTTAATTAACTCCCGAGGTATGTTTATCTATCAAAAGTTATTCTAGTGATGTCTATAACATGTCGGGTTAATAGGGCATATGACTACATGGGAAGCCCATATGGGAGCAAATACCAAAATGCATTGGAATGTGGTTTTGATCTGTAATCTAGCTATAAAGCTTTTTGCTGTTTAAGATCTGGCTATTAATATACAAGAAATACCCAATTATGCACTGTCCTCGGTGTAGTTCACTTTCTTCGCGCGTGAACTTCGTCGAGAAAGTGATATTGAAGCCGGAGCATTGTCCACTTCCACTGAAATCTCTTCGGTCTTTTCAGTCCCTCCAGTCTCTTCAGACTCCGGGGTAGACTCAATGTCCGAAGCTTTGCGCTTGTTGCGAGCTTTGGTCGACGGACGTGTCCGCCTGGCCGGCTTTTTTACTGGCGTTTCTATCTTGATGGGTATATCTAGGGGAGCATCGTCTGCGATAGACTCAATCTTACCCTTTTTGGATGCACTTTTCTTGGGACTTGGTGTAGCTTTAGGCTTCACGATTTTCTTGGCCGGTCGGAGCCATTCTTCCATGCCCTCGGGCCAGTAGACTCTACCATCCGGTCCACCCATTCCGACTTCTTCGTCTGGGATGGTGCGAGGCGGTGGCATTGAGCCCTCTAAGTCCACAAAGGCCCCATTCTTCCTGGACTTTTTGGGCGGTTTGTGTGGTTGGTTTTCGTCAAGCCGCATGAATGGTATTATGTCGTTCACAAGATTGTAACCGGGGAGTTTGAAGTTTCTCATCAACTCAAATACGGCTTGTTCTTTGTCCTTGGCCTCAATCATCAGGTCCATGGTGGGCGCACAAGGGGGTAACGTGGTAACGCGGTCACTGTGTTTGCGCCGTTGGCGTGGTGTGATGGCGGCTGCAGTTTGTTCGGAATAATGCATCTTCTGGGTGATATTCTTCCGAGACCATGTTGCTGATATACGCTCGTAGAGAGGTATGATGTCTTCAGTGCCTTCGCGGACCTCATTGGCGTCAAAAATGATATTATGGTGATGATAGTCGAGGACAAGAGGGATATTGAGCTCCTCGCAAATAGGTAGCAGATCGTGAACAGACCAGCTAACGTCGTCATTCTCCAGAACCAGCCGATTTTTGATGTCCTGCGACAACGTGGCGTAGTTCTCTCGGAATCGGTCTAATGTAGCAGCCTTATCACCAAAGACTCCACCCATGTGCAGAATCATGACCGCATCACGGTCCTGCTGTGGGGGAAGTTTGAGTAGCTGAAGCATCTCCGAGTGATACTCGAGATCGCGAATAGAATTCTCGACGACTTCTTTCCTCGGTGATCCAAATTGAGTGAATTGGCCAGGGTGAACCGATACCCGGTGTCCGAGTTCTGCAACCACACGTCCAACATCTGCTAGTGCCTCCGAGGCGAACGGCGCTAACTTATAGCCATATTCCTTGTGACTAGCAAATGGGAACATCTCACTGCTGAGTCGCATGAACTTAATGCCATACTTGTCGTTCCAACGAATGATTTTGACCAAATCGCGTACATTTGCCAAGGCTAACCCCTCGACGAAAGCTTGTCCGCGTGCAACATCGGATGGTTGGTTACGGTCGGGACGATTCTTGATCGTGTGTGCGGGTTGGTCGGGATCTTGGAGCGGGTGTCGATTCTCGAGTATAGAGGCGATTCGACATGTCCGAGAACAGAATACGGAGGGTGTGGAATATCGAAGGTACGTATTTAGACATGCCTGTTAAAGTCAGATTCCAGTATCATCGGCGGGGGTTATGTTGTGCGCAGCACGGCGCAACTCACATATCCTAATCGGCCTTTCCAGGGAAGGGGTAGGTAGCTGCTGTTCACCGGAGGTGGTCGGCCGAGCGCCTCTTTTAGCTCTTCCGGATCAACAGGGATGTCTTCGTCTGATTCCGGGTCCAATGTAGCCTCTGCCTGACCAGCAGGTAAGGGTACATCTCCATTGAGGATATCCACCGGCTTCGCCTCCAGGCCAGGCGTCTCAGTCGCCCTGACCATATCTTCTGGATCCAGATATCTTGGTTCTGGGCCAAGATCCTGCGAATATGCACGTGATGATGTAGACCTCAATCTGTTGAGGGGATGCGCAACACTTTTAGGCGAGACGGACGAGAAGCGCAGAGCACATTGAGCAGCATGATGGGTATTTGGGGCGAACGATCTGGTTCTCGCCACAGGAACAGATTCAGGTATTCTCAATGACGTATGACGACCCTGCTGGCTAGCTTCCAAGGAATGGACATGGATAGACAAACCTTGCAGCAGACGAGCAAAAGACCGACACATTCAGCGGACTTTTGGCGGTCAAGGAGTGTTGGGGGTTTGGAGTTCGTAAGGGCGGGATATTCCACGCGCTAATCAACGCGACTCACCGCGACCACCTCTAGGGCTATCAACGTCATCAACCTCAACCTCCCCAAAATCAGAATTTGATATAATTGCGATCTCTCTACTCCGTACAGCTTGCTAGACTCCAATCCTAACATATAACATATAGTAGTGCAAAGAATGCGCCCATTGATGTCTTGGGCCCTGTAAGTGGACCTCTCTCGGATTGTACGCTCTGGACGGATGAACGTTTTTATTACCTGTAGGATACAGGATATTGAACTTGGCCGAATGTAATAACACCTGCTCCAAATTAATTTCTAATATACAGCATAACTATATTGTACATATCACTAATCATTCGGGCGGTAGCCTGCATATTAAGGCTTGGTGGCAAATGCAATGTGATATTGTGATATAGGCGCTGTAATGTATCGCGCATATATGACGGGATCCTGCACTTCAACAGTAATTGTCGCCATGGGAGACCGCAAGATGCTAAGATGGGGTGACAAGAGTTAATTCGAACTTTGAGACCGTGTTAGTATTTATAATGGCCTGCTGTTCGCAATGTTGTCCATTAGATAATCTCAGAGGGCCTAAGAATTATTGTACTATAGTGGAATTTGACTTTATAGGGGGTGACATAGGCGTTGAACGCTGGGCAGGAGAACTCAAGGGCGCTGGATTTCAGACTCGGATCACCCACATTAGTTGAACGTCATGATCGTGGCTAGACCGGGAATTGATATCACACCGAGGAAATGCGTCACGCTATTGACCCTTGATGAATCAGGACCTGTTGGCCTTTGCTTCAGGCGCTGGAGAACAGGGGATACTCCGTTCATCGTCCTTGGTTTGACGAAGGGCCCTTCCCTGTTGGACAAGATGTGATTGCCTTGCTTGATGGCGAAGCTCCATTCTTTTAAAACATGGATTACTACCGCTTTAACTCTTTTTTTATAGAAAAAAAAAAAAAAAAAAGAAAAAAGGATAGAGAGGCTAAAGGAGTGTGGTATTCTCTGGGTGACTCGTTTATCACAAGCCCAGTGTCAGGATCCAGGATTTGGTCAGATCCATGGTAGCATAGCTCTTCGAAATAGTAAGTCCGGCCGCTTGGCTGCGCTATAGTGGGTTCACGAGGATATCAAACCTCTGCAGGGAGATGAGGTGGAAATCGACACTTATGCGAAGGGTTTGAATTTCAAGGTAGGCCTAAACGCAACAGGCGGACAGAATATCACCTACCGATACGAATCCAGAGGATGTCTTATGTGCCATGGGAATTGTCGAGGCCAAAGATAATGAATTTAGACATGAAGGAGCTAGCGTAGTCTACCACATCGGTCTTGAAGTTCAAGGTCTGAAAGCCGGTGCCCGTGTCATGGTCATCGGGAGCTGCTTATTTAAGACGCGATTGATTCTCTCCGAGAACCTGTGGGAGAAGATCCCAGGTGGCTTAAGCTTCAATGATGCGGCGGGCATGCCTTGCGTGTTCAGTACACCAAAATACTATATCTTCGACATTGGAAAACTGAAAAGGGACAGGTTTGTATCCCCTTAACATCGACGCTTCTTGGGTCGACTTTTGACGTTTTTTTAGTTTATCTTTTCCAAGAATGTGTGTGATCTGGAAGAAAGACATCTGAATGTCGCGTTGCTCAGCTAACCTGATTCTGCTCAAATTTTCCCTGTGGAAAGAAGGTATTTAGCTTCTTGCTGAAGCCATAAGAAGACCAGGTGATATCTTGCTCCTTATCTGGGCTTGGAATGGACTCTCTCCTGGCAATTGAGGTTAAACAGTGGTGGAAGGCGACATTCGGGTTCGATATCAGTGTCCTCGAATTGATGGGAATGGTCACACTCGATGTACTCGGGGAGCACGCTGCTCATGGCATGCTTAAATTGTCTCATGTTATAGAAAGCAGGCTGCTTTGAGCAATATGTGGTTGTAATTGACCTTGAATATGAAAAATCAGGAAAATAAAAGCAATGATAGTGATATGCCAGCCAGATCTCGCGCCCATTCGAAGCGACAGCTGAGTACCAGCTGAGCAATATACACTGTTTAGACATGATGTGATACCTCTTGCTGAGGAAGTCGGAATATCGTTGCCCAAATTCCCAATGACACAGCGAGCATGGCGAGCAAGATCGGCTGCAACACTGTCACTCCCTTAGCCTGGGCAATAGCGCCAATCATGAATGGGAAAACAGCACCACCACCCATCGAAAAGGCAGCCGCAAACCCAATAGCAGCAACGTGAAGATTCTTTGGTAGCAATCGTGTCGCCACAATCACAACTCCCGGGAAGATAGTCCCCATAAAGAATCCAACAAATGCAACCGCAACCGCGGACACAATGAACTCAGGCACGAGCCAAAAAATGAGCTCAAGAACAATTGCAAGCAAGAGGTATATAGCAATGGACAACTTCTCTCCAATTCGAGGTGACACAAACCCTAGCACGAATCGACCGACTGTGATGCCGAGCCAGAAGCCTGTCTCTGCCATTCCGGATTCAAATGGATCGCCGTGTCGGACGTTCGTCATAAATACAACAATCCAACCACCGATTGCTACCTCAATTCCGCCATAGAGGAAGAGGAAGATAGCGCATATCCAGGTGACTTTATATGTGAGGGCAAGGCGTGTTTGAGAGAATGCCCCCCTCTACCTGGGAAACTGGGATTTTCTTCTTGGTATTTGCTCCCAGTTTCATCCCAGAAAGCGCTGGTGGAGTAAACTAGCGCGATAGCAGCTGCTCCAGTCTGTATTTCATTGTCAGTTTGTCGGTATCCAGTGAGATGAGATAGGGAGGATCGAGATACCATCAGGTAGTAATAAGAATACCATTCCCATCCAGCTTTGATGATTAGAGTTGTAGCAACGAGAGGGCTTATTGTGGCCCCGATGCCATAGAATCCATGGAAGAAACCGAGCACTTCATGCGAGTTCGCCATGTTTCCGATCCATACATTCCATGCTGCATTGTGAAATCCGCTCCCCAAACCAACCAGAATATACATAATCACCAGAACTGGGAATGGTGGGTGGGTAGATATGACTGCAAACGCAATGACATGGCAAATCGGAGCAATTATTGTGATTCCTCGTCTGCCGAGAGTCTGATGAACTAAATTGCTCAAGATAGCGGACACGGTATATCCTACAAAAGGCGAAAGGAACACCAGGGAAACGACCGTATAGCTTTTTTGATAGTAAATCTCCAACTAAATAGTTCGAATAAGATGGTCAGTGATATACCACAGGGATCAGGTGAAGGTTGAATTGGTGACACAAACATAGGGAATAATTGCTCCATATGCAGCATCATTGGACCCCATCACGAATGCACACCAAAACGTAGCCGTCACCTTCCATATTGTTGTTTTCGACTCGTTCCATCTTGGTGCGACGTTTACTGCATGCAATGGTGGTGTTTCATCTGTCTCTGAAGACGTAGCTTCAGGCGTGTATTGGTATTCGGCAGGTTCACCTGGTGTGGGTGGCCAAGAGGACCGGCTCGGGCTTGCACTTCTGGTACTCATCTCTGGATGTTGAAAAGTCGAAAGTGAGATCTTAAGGGGTGTAAGATTGCGGGGGGTATATGAGACATGTCATGCGGGGGGAACCCGACAACTGGTGAATGTAACCATATCCTATATGTGTGGATTTATAGAAATTCCCCTATATGAGTATGAGTCATAATGTCTATGTTCCAGTTTCACTTCTGTTTTCAAGCCGCTATATCCATATCTGGTTCAAACGTCTATTAGTAATAAATCTCCAAAGGCAGAATTCGGATATTGAAATGATGATATAAAAAGCCATCAAGAGCGCCAAGATAGATGTAGTAGCATATACCATAGAACCCTGTCAATCTCCAAATCGGGTAAAAGGTAAATTTCAAATGCATCTCCGACCTAGATCTTGACTAATTATATACAGGTATCAAGGTTGTTTTGCCTCCAGGCCATCGCATACACAAGTTCATTTGGATTAGAAAAAGAGGAAGAAGAAAAAAAGAAGCCAAGTAACATTCGTTATCCAAAAGAAAACAAGTAACTATAAAAATAGTATAGGAGTATAGTTAAATGCCGGTCACGTGGTGGTATTCTCCGAGACCATCAGCGCGTATTTTCCCGACGCTCTCCAAGTCTTCAAAACATTTATCTTGGGAAAAAACCACGTCACAGAAGCGGTTTCTAGTCGAAATGGCTAACCCTTCGGTATCCCCAATTAAGACTAATCTAAAAGAGTTCCTTCAACCGCTCCGGGTCGAACTTGAGACCTTGTATGATTTATCGTGCCGGCTATCGTCGTCCTATAAAAAGTTGGCCGCGGAATCTACAGAACACTTTATTCCATCGGCTCTTACTCGTCTTCCAACGGGCCATGAAACAGGTCGCTATCTTGGCGTCTATTTTGGTATGTCTTACCTTCGTGTGGCCTTCATCGACCTCTTAGGAGATCAACATGTGGAAGGACATCCACGCGTACGGCGCACATTAGAGAAGGCATGGCCCATTGAAGATCATTTACGAAAGGATCATTGTGTTGACCTCTTTACATGGATTGGAGACTGTATCGCCGAGGTGGTGGCAGACAGACTGGCCAACCCAAGTGAAGAGCGGATTGACCAAATAACGACAGGCATTTCCTTCTGTCTACCTATAAAGTATAGTATTCCCACCCAGATTCCGCTGTACGTTTCTCCGACTAATCTAGTGTAGACAAGATTCCCTCGATGAAGCTATCTTGATGCCAACAGGGAAAGGCTTTTCTCTAAGCTCAGACCTCAATCTCCGCCAAGCCCTGTTGAATGGATATGAACGCCACACATATTCAACTCATGGCGATGAAATGAACATGCCTGCTAAGCGCCGCAGGTTGTTTTCTCTTCCTAAACTGAAAATCGCAGTCATGATCAATGATACGACAGCGACTCTTGCTTCATTGGCGTACTCGATCCCTTCTTTTCCCAACACCCGTGTTGTTATGGGTCTGATCGTGGGCGCGGGATGCAACACGACTGTTCCCATGAAACTTGCCGACTTGCATGAATCCAAAACTAAAACCATTCTTGAAAAGCACCCCGATGCACAGGAAACGCTCATCTCGACTGAATGGACTCTCTCCACAGCGGCGGCTTCTTTCGACGAGCTTGGTATTCGAACAAAATGGGATCTTGAGCTGGATAGAAATTGCAAAAGACCTGGTTTCCAGCCAATGGAATATATGGTCGGCGGTGGATACACTGGCGAGCTCGTCCGCACCGTCTGTTATGATTGGTTCCATGGAGTTTTGGGAATAGAACGCTCTAAGTTACCGCTGAAATTGGTTGAAGAATATTCTCTTTCAACAGAATATCTCTCCCTGGTCGTTGCTTCTTCTCTGTGCGATGAACGCTTAGCAAGCGAGTTGTCCAAGACACTGCAGCCATCTTCCGAGAGCGATTGGATCTGGTCGCCTGAATATGCCCGTGATATTCGGGCCATTGCCTCAGCTGTGCAGCATCGAGCGGCTTCTTTGGTGGCATCTGCAGTTGTTGGTCTCCTGGGCTGCACTAATGAAGTCCAATTGTGCAACACGGCACCCAAGTGTACCAATGGAAAACAAGTCAATTCGGACACTGAAGTTATTGAACAAACGGACTCCTCATCATCAACGCCAGGTTGGAATAGCGGGCCGGAGGAGCTCGCCGTTGCTTTCTCTGGTGGAGTGATTCAACACTATCCTCACTATAAAGAAACTGTACAGAGATATATTGATCGACTGCTGCTGCGAGCTGGTCCTCAAGCAGGCGGAAAGAGTGTCTTCTTGCGGGAGGCCAGTGATGGCGGGATCATTGGAACTGGTGTCCTTGCAGGAACCGCGTCAGGGGAAATCGGGGAAATCAAGGCCACTAACAATTAGTTTCGATCAATTTCTCTCAACTGATAGTCACATAGGTGCATTATAGATGCATTGTAAAATATATCTCGCATTGCCAGGGGCTTCAGCAGCGCAAAAAAGAAGCCCCACTTGGGCAGGAACCCGACATCGGTGCATTTTTATGCCGTTCTGTAAACTAAAGAACTTATTAATGTCATTTGAATCAGAGATATACCTCAGAAATTGTCAAGAGCCCGCTATCTGCTTTTCGCTGGTCAGCCTAAAGCCTTGTACAAATATATCAGCCCTATTCTTGGTGGGAACCCGCCAAGAACACTGAAGACTTTTCCTTTTTTTTTCCATTGCCTCAAACACGAAAAATCACAATGAAGTTCTTCGATGTGAGCAAATTCCCATTGTTTCTATAAATTTGACTAACACTGGAGACAGGTCGCTGTCACATTCACTGCAGACCAATTCCAAGGTATTTACCGAGGAAAGCAATATCACGAACCAGATTTTGCAGAAGTCCTGAAAAGAGCGCGAGACCATGGCTGTGAAAAGATCATGCTCACCACGATGACTCTGGAAGGTGCAAAACAAAACCTGCAGGCAGTGAGGGAGTTCCCCGCGATGTGCAAAATGACCTTGGGCGTACACCCGTACCATGCCGCCGAGATCTATGAACAGCCAGAATCAGAATATCTCAACGAGCTGCGCGAATTAGGTGAAATGCTTCTAGCTGAGGATCCCTCGCCCCTAGCTGGGTTTGGGGAAATCGGGTTGGACTATGAGTACCTGGATCGAGCCGATAAGGAAACGCAGCAACGCGCATTCCGCGAGCAATTAGAGCTGGCCGTGCAATTCCAACTACCGCTGTTCTTACACGTTCGTGAATCAGCCGAAGACTTTATTTCCATCATCAAGCCATTTCTGCCAAGACTGCCGCGTGGCGGGTTGGTGCATTCTTTTGCGGGGACGAAGGGGGAGATGCTCCAGCTCGTAGAACTGGGTCTTGAGATTAGTGTCAACGGTATCTCATTCCGGACGGACGAGCAGTTGGAAATGGTCAGGCATATTCCATTGGATAAGTTGCAATTGGAGACTGATGCGCCGTGGTGCGAGGTCTTGTCTAATGACCCCAAAATCGCGGCTTACCTGGAAACTGCGAGGCCTTTGCCGGCTAGTCGGAAGTATAACAAGTTTATACTGGGGCAAATGGTCAAGACACGCAATGAAAGTTGTTCTATGGAGCGTGTAGTATTAGTTGTGGCGGGTTTGAAGGGTATTGCTGCAGAGGAGGTGGTTGAGGCTGCTTGGAATAATAGTAGTCGAATGTTTTGGTTGTGAACACATGTCTTTGAGCCAATGTATATAATTGGAATCATGTGGCAGGACTTCAGATAAATTTTCCTCCTAATTTAGGTAGTCTACTTGGATCATTGGAACTATCGGTGTTTGGAGCTCAGTTCCTTGCTAGTAGAGCCATGCACAGCACGTCAAAGTGCACGGTATAGATCTCGTAGCAACAAGCTTTTGCCGGCATGAACATAATCGAAAGAGATCTTGATAGATCGACCGAGATGTAAACAATGCTCCTTAGGTAATCATGATTGGTGCCCTGAATAGGCATCTAGGGGGAGGAAGACAGGGGTTTTGATTGCCCCCTAGGGCTTGCCGTGGACTGCGTGTTGATCCCGGAACTTGGTTGCCGGACAGTTGTGATTTATAAATCATTGTGACGCGTCCTTTTTTTAGTTTTTATGAGATCATCAAGATTCTTGAAGAGAATCTAGCCCACGGATATCAATATTGATAGTTGGAATGAAGGAAGTCATGTATGGTGCCTTCTTTCTCACATTCGATCCCTCATCGCCCATGAGCTTTACAATCCAATTGCCCCTCGAGTAGCTAGTTGCCACTCAACAGTTGGTTTGGCGATCTGGGTATCTAAGCGTTCAAACAAGGTCGATATGGAATCTGCGTGAATCTTTCTAGTGTATGAGTCGTGTAATGTAGACCTATGGATTCTGTTAGATTTTCAATGATTTGTACTTCAGCCTTTATGCAAAGAAAGACATGCATGATGGTGGGGGACCATCTTGAGGTTGTTGGAGGGGATGGCTATGGTTTGTTGACATTCTTTACGTTGCGAGGGCGCCAAACCATCGCATGGGCAAGCGCCGCAACATGATGGCATCGGCCATTCCTCTGTAGAGTTATGTGGAATGTTGTTGACTACTGGCCATGTATTTATAATAAATGTTGTCGACCACCCTGAATGTCTTTCTTTTTCTCAAGCCTCTATAAACATAAAATCGTCTCTATTGACCCTGGTGGTTAAGTGTTTATCAATATACCAAAGGTTCTCCAAGACACTGTAAGTGAAGCGTTAGCGATTGCTTCGTTCTTTCCTCATTCGATGTTGCCATTATCAGATTTGAGACTAACAATCATAGAAACACAATCACAATGAAGGGCACATTGATCCTTTCTGGCCTTTTGGCCACCGTTGTCTCGGCTCACATGCAGCTTAGCAAGCCGTACCCTATCCGCAGTCCCCTCAACAAGGATGGCAAGGGCGAGAAGGATTATTCTTACACCAATCCGCTTTCCAGCTCCGGTAGCGACTACCCATGCAAAGGATACGCCAAGGATAAATTTGAAGCCGTCGCTACATGGCAACCAGGCTCTTCCCAAGAGATGACGTTGGAAGGCAGTGCCGTCCACGATGGTGGCTCATGTCAGCTCGCCCTTACGTATGATCAGGGTAAGACCTTCAAGGTCATTGAGTCGATCGAGGGTGACTGCCCTATCGCCAAGAAGTACCAATTCGAGGTCCCCTCCGACGCACCAAGCGGTGATGCTCTCTTCGCTTGGACCTGGTTTAACAAGGTCGGCAACCGCGAGATGTACATGAATTGTGCTATGATCACCATTGGTGGCTCCAGCAAGCGCAGTGCTGCTGTCGACTCCGTCGACAGTGAAGCCAATCAGGGTGCAGTGCCCAAGCTCAACAAGAAGCCCACCGAGAAGGGGCCCAACAACCATGCCAATGACCAGACCGAGAACGCCAAGACCGGCTTCAGTAGCCTCCCCGAGCTCTTCGTTGCCAATGTGAACCAGGCTGGCAAGTGTGTGACCATCGAGGGCCAGGCCGTTCACTTCCCCAAGCCTGGCCCCAAGGTTATTGGCAAGGCCGACGGCCCTGGATACAAGTGCTCCGACCATGCTCCCTTCCTCGAAAGCAGCTCCGGGTCCGAGACCAAGTCCGAGAAGAAGCCCGCGACTACTGGCACCACCAAGTCCGAGAAAAAGCCCGCGACCACCCTCACCAGCGCCACCAAGCCCGAGAAGAAGCCCGCTACCGACAGCACCAGCGCCACCAAGTCCGAGAAGAAGCCCACTACTGACAGCGCCACCACCGTAGCCAAGGCCGTCTCTAAGATCGCCCAGGCCTTTGGAACTGCCGCCGCCGGCAGTGGCACCCGTGTGGTCTCCACTGAAGACTCAGCCAAGAACCAGTTCAGCGACTACGTCGGCGGATGGCCTTGCCACTCTGGGGACATCATCTGTGCCCCTGACGGACTGTCCTTTGCCATGTGCAGTAACGGCAAACCCATCTTCATGGGCTCCGTCGCTGCTGGTACTATTTGCCGCTCGGGCGTTATCACTGCTCGCCAGTAAAGGCGTCCAATTTTCTACTTTTCATTTCTCTTGGTGTTACTTTTTCGATACATCCCAGTGAATATTTCAAGCTAACAGCAGTCCATAGACTGACTGTATCAGTCGAGTGATCTTCGCTCGCCACAGCCGGTGTTTGGACTCTGAAAGTTGGTGTTTTCTTTCAGCCCGGCTTTTGGGCGCTCTGTATTGTTTTTTAATCCTTTACCCATACCTGTTAAGCGATGAGCCCGTTGATGTCCCCGTGCTGACGATCTTGTCATGCAAACTATCTAATGATTCCGTGTGTTAATTTAAATTATGGACCTTGGTTATGCTATACGCGCCAGCCCCTGCATGAACCCAATCAAACTGAGTGACAAGAAGAGATGTCATGTCGGCACATATTAAGGAAGGTTAAGTTAAGGAAATTATAGTACTTACACCCACTATTAATCAACCTATAAGCGCGCTCGCCCTTACTCGCCCGTGAGCTGCGCGACTACCCTTATATTTTTACCTTAACCACCTAAATCGCGCGCACTTAATCTAGTGGATGAAAAGTGCGGATTTAAATCATCTAGGGCGTACTTCAGTTTTATCACACTCAACCTCTAGTGCTTAAGTACGGCTGAGCGGACCGGAAGCCCTGTTTTCCACATCCTATAGTCGTATGTACTGAGTGTACCACTAGAGAGTGATAATACCTATATATAATAAACAAGGTAGTAATAGGGACGGGATGAGTGCGTAATGATAGATAGGAATCGGCAGTGATGAAGCTATTTTATCTTAATATAGCTTAATAAAACATCAATATGAAAAAACACCAAATGGAAAGAAGTAACATAAGCATAGCCGGCTTCAAAACGAGAACAAGACCAAACCCGAAAAAGGAAAATTCAAAACAGCGCCCCAGCTGCCCATGATCAATTGCAGGATTAATCACCCCGGCACTATAATTGGATCTTATAGTGGGACTGCTTCTTTAAATGAATGCTGGCGGACGCGCGTTTCTGTAGTCTGGAAGAGGCAGATTGACCGTCATCTCACCAAGATTAGTGCCCATATGCTTCCTTTGGGTGTTATCCGGCATTGACAAAACGAACAACAAATGGTGGATCCATACACCCGACAGCCGATCTCCTGAGCTTCCTTTGCATCCTGGAGTTACAGAAGTTTTAATGTCAACCCAGTAGGGAAGTAGAGGTTGACCATTAACTATGATATTCGCCTGCAATATCACATTCTGAACCTCTACCTGCCCACCAGCGGTCTGTTTGATTCCTTTCCCAAAAACGGGCACAGGTGCGCCAGATAAATTTTCAATTCGGTTTCTATCCTCAGAGAAGATCCGCATTGACGACGCGCCTGTGTCTTCGAGAAAATCAAAAGTCATGGTAGTCGCCATTGTATTCGTTGCTTGGGTAGTTGGGTTTCGAAGCGATATCCAAATCTATTAGATTTTCGCATGTCAGTGCTTGTGGCCTTAGTGTTCACTTCATGAGAGACGGTACCATATGTATTGCGAGCCCTGGATAGCACGGGTTCAGAGAGAAAAACAAGTATAAATGGCCCGGGGTGCAATCATCGATCTAAATATTGGAATCAGCACCCTGTGAATGCCTCTGTGATTTGGTTTTGAATAGTACTGTGGCGCTGGACTGATGTTTCCATTCTGGATTTCTTTCTCGATCCCAACTTACTCCTTCTACCCAAAATCCCTTTGGGCCATGCTTTGCACTAAGAGAATAAAATTCCTGCATATCCAACTTTTTGGGACCAGCAATCAGCTTATCCTTTGACCAATAACTGACTGAATCCCTATCCCAGATCAGTTTTCCAGAGCGGTAAGCAGTCATGATAGCTTTGACATTGGAAAGATTATCATCGTCGTCTCTGGCCTCGAAACTCCGCTGAAGCTTTTTCAAGCAATCGAGGCGTTGAACAATTTCCCAACTAAGGCCTTCAGGTTCGGAGTTGATCATGTCCCTAAATGAGGAATGGCCATTGGCGTTAGAACATGCAACAAAACAAAAACAGAGTATAGAGTGCAGTGTCTCCTTACATTCTTTCTTGCTTGATGGCTGTAAACGATATCATCCTGTTTTGAAAAAATTGAGGTAGGATTCCCTCTGAAATGCGTTCTTTGCATCTCTCAATTTGGCCGTCAACATCACTTCAACAAAATGTTAGTGAAGAAAACGGAATCCATGGGGGGGGGGGACTCTTGATCTTACAATTCGTCGAGATCCGGCTCATCTACACTCCATCCGTCAGGCAGCTGGGATTGATCTGTAATAGGAACCTCACGCGGTCCCCATACTCTCCTGCCGGGCCTGCCTTGGCTAGATGGTTCAGGGAAATTAAAATTAGCCCCACGCTCGAGGAGCTTGGTTGCAAGGGCAACATGAGGCGAAATAGGATCAGACTCTTTGCCTTTTTCCTGGTAGAGGCCAAGAATATCAGCATTTACAATCTTTATAGCTGGATTGCTTTGAGGGGCTCTGTTAAACAGAGAGCGGTGGGCCATAGTACCTTCTTCTTGCCCTTATCTAGAGCTGACTTGGACGCAGTACTGGAACCAGTCGCTTTCGACTTTCGAACACGCTTGCCTTCAATAAGACCGTGTAGAATCTCCTCGCCCTTTTCCTGCTTTTGGCGGCGAGTGGTAGGCATTCCGATCTAGAATGATGAGTATTTCGGATTGAAACACAAAGTGAAAAGCGCAAAGAGCCTAAAGCAAGGTGATAAAAGATTCGAGGCCGAACATCGATCATATTGATAACTTTTTCCTTGAGGTCAGCCTTCATTGGTTTTCGGACAAAGGTGAGAAGTCAAAGAAATGTTTCGAGTCGAGCTTGGCAGAGGTCCAGGGAGCCAAAGAAAGCCTCGAGGACAAAGAACGAGCTACAAAGTGCCAATCAAGAATTCTGATTTTCTCTTTTCCTTTACCTTGTTGGGTCCACGGCTCTTATCCTGGCTTATGTACTGCACTCTATGTCTAAAAATGATCTTAGCTCCGCCTTGAAAGAAAAATAGAATACAAAAACAAGCTAGCCAATGGTGAGATCTGCATGGGAAATCTGGGGGAAACCGGGGTCTTCTCACTCCATTCTCACCTCTATCACCTTGGTCTCCAGAACTCTCACTCACATCACCCACACTCACCCTAAGGTAATCCTGTGGCCGTGAAGGAGATAGATGAAGGTGAAAGTCTCTGATATTCAATCTATGTGGAAACAGGGTATTTATACCCTCTAACAAACAATCATGGGACGGTCCAATGTCCAACAGTATGTATCAGGCTACATGTGGGAGAGAATTATAGAATGCAGGAGCTATCAAGATCGGTGTATCTGAAGCTTTGATTGCTTCGGGGACTTTTCAATCGGAGTAGCAGCGTAGGAAGCTCTATCACTTTATGCTATATTAGTCTTCTCTTCTCTTACTTCTCTCTGTTCTCACTACTCTCTCACAGTTATTATATTAACGAAAAGCATACGTCTTTCAATATACCTGCAGTATCCTAAACAGACTGTCTTAGTTATTGTATAGTACTGCGTAGCCTAAATTTTCAGGCTAGATTAAAACAAGTGCATACGACCCTGAGCGCTATGCCCCTTCGTACACGTCTGATGTAATATTCTCTTCCTTATTTCCATAGAAGAGCTGCTGCGGGTGCTTCACTGCGTCACTCAGAATTCATTGCCTTCCTGATCCTCGATCTTCTCAAAATATGCCTCCCACCAGGACTCCGACCCAACCGCCCGTGAGTATACAACATGTCACTATTGATGTAAATCGTATCACTAAGATCACCTCAGACTGCGCCTTCTCCTAAGCGCGCTACTTAAGCGAACGGGTCCAGTGAGAGAGTACCTACAGCGATCAACAGCAAATTACACCGGAAAGCGTCTCGGTGAGCGCATATGTGGAATCTCTCCTTATCCAGATCGTGGGAGAAGTATTCCAACAAGAATACACCAGCTGTTTACAAAACGATGGCTCCTGGGCCAAGTGCATTCGCTTCCACGATGTGCATCGATGACCGCACTGTCACGGCGTGCGGAAATTGCCAATGGAACGGGCAGGATAGGTGTTACAATATCTTCTAGTACCTTGTCCCCGACACTCCCCGTTGTCACTAGCGCGGCCGCTCATCCCGGTCTTCTATCAATTTGCCGGAGATTCGTACTAACACTCACAACAACAAGGCCGAAGCCGGCCTAGCGGTTACCGAAAGTCTAAAACATGTCGTTCGATTGACACTTCTGATAGAATTCAACTTCAATGGAGTTCAAAGGCACAATGCTCTAGTTCTTCTCTTCTAATGTATTACCTACGTAGTCCTGCCACATCGTTTTGGAATCCCTACTCTATCCTACAGAATTCTCATACACTTCATGTAACCATACGTAGCTACAACTGTAAGTAAGGGAGGAAGCGTACTCAAACAATTTGATCAGTAAATTCAAGAGGCCACAGTTGATCGAATCCTCCATTTCGTCACGAATCTCGATTTGCAGTTCTAAAACTAGACGAAGGTCACGCTCAACTGCTCCAAATCCTCATCCGCCGAGCTGGAACCGATATACAACGTGTATGTATCTTTATCCACCTGCTTCTTCTCATTGAGATAATATCCCATTTCTTCCGTCTGAATCTCAAATGTAACACTCCTCGATTCTCCGGGCTCCAAGCGGACCTTTTCGAACCGCACCAAATTCTTTAGCGGTCTCTCGATCAGTGGAGCAAACTTAGAGAGGTAGACCTGCACAACTTGCTTCCCAGCAACAGAGCCAGTGTTTGTCAAAGTTGCCGAAACGGAAACTTTTCCTTTCGTGGAAACCCGAGCATCGGCCTTGACATTGTTAAGTTAGAACGATATGTAGCTAAGGCCATGGCCGAATGGATACCGTGCCGTTTTATTGATCATCACATCTTGGTAATCAGATGGAGTGTCGACATTGAGCTGCTTTCGATCCAACGCGATGTAGTTGTAGTAGATTGGAATAGCGGATGATAACTTCGGGATGACATCTGGGAGCGATTAGATCCAATCACCTCGATACCCTTGCAATCTCTAAAGTACTCATATCAGAATGGATATTTACGGCGATCTTGTCTCACACATGGGGTGACCTGTCACACTGGTTCGTACACAATTTCCAAGGCTTGATTGTTTTTTATTGGCCAGGACGTCCTATCGAGGTGCATATAATATGCATGCTTCCTTACAGTTCATTTGGATATGAAAAATCATGGTAGTCATCCAAGCCATGGGAATAGGGGCTTCGATTGGTAAAGGTAAGACCTAAATGCAGTTGCGGTTCTTCAGCTGAAGTCTACAGGGTATTCAGCTCAGCCCCAAAACGCCTCCGAAGTACTAGTTCAGGGATTACAGGGTTGAACTATCACCCTTTTATTTCATTTCATTTAAGATGTGTACTTTAAAGAAAGCCATTACCTAGAGGTTCCAGGCAGCTTCAATTTTCTTCACCCAGAAGATTCCTATCATGGGTGTTCCCCAACAGCAACCTTTTGGTTACAAATGGCGCTCTTCCAAATGGTTTGTTATCTCTACTGTCACTCTTGCCTTGTTTGGTGGTTGGTATGCCTACAATCCACTTTACAGTCTGTCGCTAACACTGTCTACTGTTAGAAACCTTCCTATATGCATTCATTGTTCCTATTTTAGACTACATGTTACGGACTCGCCTGCACATTGATCGCTCCAAGACTCAGAGTGTTACGTCTGCAGTACTCGGCCTCCATGGCGCTATCTCTGTCGTCGCTGGTCCCATCATCGGTCATTTCGCCGATAAGACCCCAAACCGCAAGACACCATTACTGCTTTCTCTTATCACCTGTATAATAGGGACCCTCATGATTGCCAGCACCCATTCGGTTCCGATCCTCTTACTAGGTCGCGTCTTGCAGGCAGTTGCGGGATCCGCAGTCTGGATCATCGGCTATGCAACCATCGCAGATACCGCGGATCAGGCGAATCTCGGCACGATAATGGGGATTGCAATGTCTTTTGTCAACTTGGGAGTCATCGGCGGGCCCGCAGTCTCTGGGTTGTTACTGGAAGTGGCGGGATATTGGATAACTTGGATGACACCGCTCCTCATTTTGGCTATCGATCTTGTCGCGCGGCTTTTGATGATCGAGAGTCCGTCGAAGAGTTCATCTCCTAATACAAGGTCCACGAAGACAGCAGAGACGGCAGACTTAACAGAGACCACGGGTCTACTGATCTCGCATGACGATCCTCAAGACCTACCCGACGAGGCAGGCGGCTTTTGGCGTATTATGCTGTGTGATGCTCGCGTTCTGACTGTTCTACTCATTCAGATATTGAGCATAGCAGTGGGAACGTGCTTCAACGCGACTATTCCGCTATTTGTACAAGAAACCTTTGGATGGGGTCCTAGTAAGATTGGATTCCTGTTCTCCTGCTTAATCCTGCCCAGTCTCCTAGTCGGTCCCCTCGCAGGCTGGATTCGGGACCGTGTCGGGACACGATATCCTGCTGCAATTTCGTTAGTTCTTCAGGCAGCGGTGTTAGTACTATTGGGTATTGCTGGAAACGAGCGAATCACCTGGGCGAGTGCTCAGAACTATGGCGGGACACTTTATATAGCATCTATCGTGGCTATGGGTGCATTGCGGCCTTTTATGGCTGGCTTAGGACCTATCGAATTGACTGGTGAGTGTTGATCCCTCTTATTAAAGTCAATCAATTTGTGCGTCATTCTAATTATTCATCATAGCTGCTGTCAAGTCACACCAAGACCGGACCCCAGGTATCTTTGGGCCCGAGGGAGGGCTATCCCGGGTGTTTGCTATGATGGAGGTTGCTGCTTCCATTGGGATGACAATTGGTCCAATTGTGGGTGGTTCGCTCAAGGAACTCTTTGGTTACGACTATATGAACTGGACTTGGAGTAAGTGGTTAGCCCAGTTTTCTTGTGATGTTGCTAATAAAAGTAGGTCTGCTTTATATCTTCCTTGCTGGGCTTGTAATGTGTTTCTTAGGATCCGAGGATCCCGATATAATTTCCCCTGCTGATGGAGACTGCTAGAACTGTTTTAAGGTTCTTGAAACACATTGTATTATATTTTGTCGAGAACTACATGTCTATATGCAAGCGTAGCTTACTCCGGCCTAGCACCAACGTAACCGTCTCCAATGAGCTTGATCCATTGCAAAGAGGGTCACCATCGCTCAATTTAATGGACAGCCCCTTGTTCCCCACATGATCGAATCCGGTATGTGGCCATATATTGACGCATGCGGAAAGTGAGGCTGAATGTCATTGTCGTATTTCGCCCAGGAACACGAGATTCAGATCTAAGCCCCTGATTGGTTTGCTGGATGTAGAAAAATGATTATAGCAGTGTATTGATTAATATTAAACGCTAGTCTCGAAAGACCCAAGTATCGCCAGATATCCTCCATCATATTGTACAATCCAATCTAATCACAAACATAGCAGTGGTATCTTGGCTCTCAAATAACACAAAAGGGTCATAGAATCATCGACCAGTGCACGCGCATCAGTCCGCTCAGATAAACATACTTGGAACAGCAAGTATCTTACACCAGCAACCTAGATGTTGCCAGTATACGCCGAGTTACCGTAGCCATAGGCACCGGAAGCTGGGACAGGTGCCGGAACATTGGCGTTCTTATTTTTACCCCAAGAGCCGAACCAACTCTTCTCTGTCTTGGGCTCGCCATCCATCTCGAGGTCATAGGGGGTTGGGTGGCCGGGCAGAGCATCAGAACCGCCGACGTCGCCCTCGGGGATGTCCTTGTTACGACGCCAGAATGCCTTGCGGCTACCGCTGGTGTAGCCGTTGCTGGGGGAGGGACCGAAACGCTTCTCGCGCTTGTGGTGGCGGGCGAGAAGTATTTGGAAAAGGATGGAGATCAAGAAGAAGAAGCTGGGCGATTCGTTAGCATAATCACAAGATAACAGTATCTGTAATCTAGGATCAACTCACATTCCGATAATCGATACTGCAAAGACGACCTTTTCCAGTCTGCAGGCCATGCTGAATTTCAGCCCCTTAGAAGCAGTATCATCGTCGGCGTTGCCCGTGCCCATTGGTGTGTCGACTGTTCCGGTACATTTGCCAACACCATCGCGGGTAAGGATAGCGATAGCGACCATCGCACCGATAAAGCACACGTCCAGGGCAACGCCCAGGAATGCAAAGAAGGCAACACCGCCCAAACAGCAGGTGAAAATGATGCCTAGCAGGCCGTAGGCGGTTGCTGCGCCTGCTAAGCCTTCAACGGCCTTGATCCATGTCGCAATGTGTTGGTCATTCCTGGTCAAGACAGCCAAGAAGTAGGAGAAAATGCCGAGTATGACGGCAGCATCGAGGAACTGCAAAACACGCAGTCCAAGGTTAAAAAACCGGAGGATCACCCCGCCGGCTCCCATATTGTATAAAGTTGTATTGAATATTCTTGGGTATAAAGGTGACTGTTATGACCGTAAGGTCCAAGGGAAATATGTGTAGGAAACTCAGGCAACAGGATTTGCGCGAGTTATAAAGGAGACGGTATTTGACGATCAGTGGATGGCGGTATTGCAGAGAGATGCTCTTACCTCAATGGCTGACAGGGTCTGCGCCACACTCTAAGTGACCCCAGATGACCCACTCGGTGATGTCAATTCCATGGGTGAGGAGGTCCACCTTACTGTCTCCGGTTAAAGAATTCGCCACCGTACCATGTGAAGAAGAGAATTAAAATTAAGATTTCCCCAGCCACACTGCCACAATTTCAAATCTTCCTACTAGTACTATGACCCTTACACTTTCTATCTATAGATTCTACTAATTTTGGATATTATTGCCTATTTCTGTACATTGTAGTCTGCAAATCTGTGGTTCAACGATCTTTGAACCCCCGATGCGAGGTGTTCATCGAGATTTTCAGTTGAAAATAAAGTTAGAAAGAGTTACAATAAACTGAAACTAGCGCAGTTCAAACAATAGTGTATAGTAGTTTAATATCCTTCCATGCATGACCCAACATACATACCGCTACTAGTATCATCTCGTTCACATCTTCAAGAGACCTATGTAGCTTGCGTGTTATTGGCCCTTGTAGGTGGCTGTATTGTACTGCTGAGCATCGAGTATTTTAAATATGGCCAGAGCCCATTGTACGAATCCGCCACGTTGAAAATGACGTCTGCACCCACTCATTCTACTGGGCCTTCTGCGCCACGTCCACTTGTGCAAACATTACAAACATACAAGGTACAATGGGGAATATGGGATATTAAAACTGGGTCTGCCGCATATGAAGGCAGATCATCATCTTGGGGAGATGAAGTTTGCGGGGGTAAACAAAATGAGGTATAGTCCTAGTCCAGCAGGGATGAGAGAGATTGCAGTATCCGCCTAGGTGCTAGGATGTGATCTGGCATAACTCCAGGCTAGCGCGTGTCACCAAATAATTTCCAGGACATGTGCTGCTGGCCGGAAGCACAGCTTTAGTCACAAGCACATTTGTCCACGGGTGATCCCGATGTGGATAAAGAGGCTGGGACCAGCCCGGACAAGGCACATCGCACCAATGTAGATCGTGAATTGGCATCACTGCCACAGTACTCCGTACAGAAGCTTGGGCCTGGTTGATACCTGTTGCCTAAAAGGCTCCACAACGAGCAAGCTTCTTAGAGGAACGTCAGAAATATGATCATCAATGCAAGATGCTGAGATGTCTTTCAATCATGAACCCTATTAGGACCCCTTTTTTTCAACTCACATTTTACTTGATTTGGAATTCCAGACAAAAGGCGATAGAATCCTCGGCAGTAGCCTGTGAGATTGCATGGTAGTGGACGGTGTCTTCTTATCGAAACCGGCTAACAGCCCGCCCTTCAGGAGTCTTCCTGGCGTTGCTTTTCTTGTTCAACGAAAGCACGGAGGATCGAATCCAGTCCTTCGTTGCGGCGAGCAAGTAGCATCACGTCAGACACATTGACGGTAGATCTACCGGCGTGTCTGGATCACAATGGGGTTAGTACACTGATTGTTATATGTACTATCGCATGGGAAGAATGGGAACAATTTGCTACACAACCGCAGCAATGGCGTCTACTTACTTCGCAAAGGATTCTAGATCCTGACTGATCGTCTCTGCGAATCGTCAGTTATAAAGACAAAAGGCTGGTAAACTGACATAAAACAATGGAACATACCTATCTGAGCCCAAACCATCTCTGTCAACGCACCGATGAACTGCGGAGTGGCATTGACGCCTAGCTTGATAGTCTCCTCATCCACGATCTTGCCGATAGACAACCACAGCGCAGATTTCAAGCGCTACAAAAGAGAGTTAGCTAGGTATATGACAATATCGTACTAACACTGACCTCCTCCAGACTAGCCTCTTCAGTCTGCTCCATGGTGATGAGATAGTGCAAGACAACAAGCCGGGCGCGCCCCCATATAAAACCCACGACATCTGATTGGCCGACGACGCGTCCGCGGATTAACGGCTAATCCGGCACACAAACCACGCTAATCCCAAAGAGGAGACTTTCTCGTTGCGGGAACCGCGGAATATCGAAGAAGCGCAAAGCAATCGCAGATCCCACCAATTAATCCCTCAATCCTTAAAAAACTTTCTACTTTGTCCTTATCTACCTTTGGCCGTCGTCTTCTACAGCCTCCTCCCACTCCGCGGGTAGCAACCGAGCTCCTACCCCCTCCAAACCCTCAAGCAAACAAAAAAATCCAATCATCCACCATGTCCACACCCCAGTCAGACCTGAGCGAGAAGGCCGCCGCCGCGGCCGAGGACTTCTTCGCCCAGCTCTATGTCTTCTTCGAGACGATCGTCACCCGCTTCTTCAAAAACGGATATGCCTCCATCGCCCAGATGAGCGGAAAGCGCTGGACCAAAGTCATCGGCAGCGTGGTCGTTTACCTAATTCTCCGACCTTGGATCGAGAAGACGTTCAAGTGGATGCACGACCGCGACCAGAAAAAGCAGAAGGCGAAGCGCGAGAAGGAAAAGGCCAATTTCGGGAAAGTCAAGGTGTCGCCGAACTCTCTACGTGCTGGTGGTGACAGCGGCAAGGGGAAGGTCCTTGGTGAAGTCGATCACACCGATGATGAGCTTGAGGATGAGGAGGATCTTATGGCTGCTGCTAGTGGGGTTCCTGAGTGGAATGACATGGCGCGCAAGCGTCAGAAGAACTACATCAAGCGTGTGAAGAAGGATCAGCGCGCGGAGGATTTGAGTCGTGATCAGATTATGGACTTGTTGGATTGGAGTGAGGAGGAGGAGGTGGATGAGAAGGTCAAGAAGGATCTTTGAGATTTGAATCGTCTTGGGTCTTGTGTGCATTGCATGGTCGATGGGGTTTTTGCTTCTTGTATTTTTTATTAGTAGATTCCAAATTTAATAGGACCTCCATGGCCCATTTCGCTTCCAAATCAATTTTGTGAACTACTCTAACATCCGATGTTAAAAACTCTCTACTTTGCACAATAACGTATACTTGGAAGTCATAAATCTACTATTTGCACCTAAAACATGCATCCAATCCAGTCATCCGAGCTAGAACTTTTATCGTAAGCACTTCTAGTAACCAGCCATCGCCGCATCTTATTCGTATTCATGAACAGTTCGTAACATGTCGCCAATGGCTTTAGAATTAGGTCCCTCGCAAGAGATCAGTGAAGCCTCCGCAAGGCCTCAATTATTCGCTTGACCTCCTCCACATCAGAAGAGCCAATCTCCTGCACAATCTCCTCTTGCATGCTTGATGTACAGTTCAAGAACTGCTCAATAAGCTCGCCGTCCACGAACCGGTACGGTGCATCAGCGCTGCGCACCATAGTTCTGAAGCCGCGGAACTTGTCGAATGACAAGTTACCCAATGATTTGATTTTGGTGGAAAGAACGGCTTGCAGAGTCATAAGGAAATCTTGATGTTCGGGGTTGATAACGGCGAAGAGGAAGATGGAGCCCTCGACCTTTGAATAGGTTAGTGAATTGGCCTTGAATGCCGATCAACACGGTCAACTTGTGTGAACTTACTGTTGC